CCCCAAAACCCCAAAACCCCAAAACCCCAAAACCCCAAAACCCCATAATCTAGCCAATCAATTGATTCATTAATTATATATTACAGAAATTTAAATTTGGTTAAGTCTTGATAATCTCTTTTACAAGTTGGATATCAAGACTCTTCTGAGTGTATTCTTCAAGGAAGAAATGTGTTTCTGAAGAAGAAGCTCCTTCTATCATAAAAGGGCAAGGGTATTTCTTTTGTTCGAGATCCTCCCAATTGACATTGTCAAGCCAGGGATGACGAATAAAGTCTTCGATACCATTGTTACCAAGTCTATTATTCCTATCTTTGGATAATAGCTGAGATATAAAATCAATCATCTCAGGACTGATGTCATCTCTGCCAGAATAGGAAGGTTCCTTAGTTTTAATATTAGCATTAGCTACGAAGATATTATCATCCTGGAAAGGAGTCTCATTGAAGAGAAGTTCATAGGTTAAGATGCCTAAGCTCCACCAGTCAACCTCTTTTCCGTAAATGTCCCGTTTCACTATTTCAGGAGAGAAATATTCTCTAGTGCCACATTGTTTTCTTCATGTTTTGAAGTTAAGCTCACTTTGAGAAATAGCTAGACCAAAGTCACATATTTTGGGGTAACCATTTTCACCAAGGAGGATATTCTCAGGCTTCAAGTCTCGGTAAACGAACCCTTGCTGATGAATATGGTCAATAGCAAGGATTAAACAGCAGATGTAGAACTTGATGCTCGGTTCTGAAAATTGTCGGCCTTGCTGTAATACCCTCTGCATATGGTATAGTAAGTCTCCTCCTTGACAAAACTCGATGAGAAAAGACTTATAATTCTCATTTTCGAATTGTTCAAAGAGTTTTATAACAAAAGGGTTGTCTAACTTAGATAGTATTTTTGCCTCGTTTAAAACCTCCGTTGATTTCGAACTTGCTAGTGGCTTATTTTTAGGACAAGCCTTTAAAGCGTATTTCTGAGATTTATCCGACTTTACAAGGTAAATGTCACCCTGGGCACCTTGCCCAAGTTGGCACTCCACCGTCAGAGATTGAAGTGTCGAGTTTGATGGAGGTTCTATAGGATAGCTTTCATGTGTATTCTTATCGTCATTTGAATGATAGAGGTAGTTTAGCCAAGCGATATGGTCATTCGAGAATATGTTTATCTTAGCTTGGCTCTTCAAGGGCATTCTTACTGGTGTTTGGACCTCCATCTGAGGAATATGTGAGTAAAATATTAATATGAATTTGACGGCCTCCATTTTTAATATACCTAAAGGGGTTTTGGGGTTTTGGGGTTTTGGGGGTTTGGGGTTTTGGGG